ATACCTGCGCCATGTAAAGAGGATTATTAGCAATTATTAGCTTGATCCAAGAATGTTTGTCTCTTTTCTGGGCCTGTACTCACTAAAGATGGACTTGACCTAAGTGGAGAAATGATCTACTGTCTTAAAGTTTGACATTCTTTTTGGAAATTACGGACGCTGCACCCTCAGCCCTGGGAAAAGAGGGTTAAAAATCCTGATATTTAATGCTTTCAATGGATCACTGATACAAAGATACAGATATCTGTGTTTTTTTGAGGGAGGGGGTGCATATTTTTTATACTTATATAATCATTGTTGATATTATGTAACATGATTGAGACATTTCCCCTTTATATGTGTACTTGCAAAATAGCTGTTATGTAATTTCTAAAGAAGGGGACTGGAACTTTGTTTAATTCCTGACAAACTGGAGGACAGAGTGTTTATTAGACCTCTTGAAACTGTTCATTTGTTTGGTATTTTTAAACAATACCGAGTGTCATTTGGCTTCAAGAGAGGGTAGACTATGACAACGATAACAAATACTAATGGGAGTCAAGTCCTTGTTTTATTAAAAACTCGGTTCTGCATTTAGTTTGAGTTTGGGTAAGTTTTTAATTTCTTTCAAGGAGGGAGCAAAACCTCCATGGCCAAGCACATCAGAATTGTGCATCACAGGAAAAGGTCCATCATTTTGATGGACCTTTGACAGCAGATTGAAACAACTCTGGCTGTGGCTGCAAGAATGCCATTATTCTCTTCCAGCCAAGGCAGCCCGAGTAAGCACACCCAGACTATAGCTTGAGTCATATCAGTTCAAAATCATAACACAATGTTGAAATCAATGTTAAAATCAGCAGGATACAAACTAGTTAGCTGAGGAGCTGAGATAGTGAGGTGTTCATGTCAGGTTAGTAACATGATTCGTCCAAATGCTATGCTCAGAAATGAGAAAAAATGATTTTTGAGAAGGAAAAAGAAAAAAATGTAAAAACACTTCTGAAATATTCAAGACATTTCATCAAATTGTGACACTGAGACCTAAACAGTGATGTTGATAAGGGCCTGAGCCATTAGGAATCCGCATAATGGCATCATTAATGTCATTAGTATCATTAAAAAAGCTAATTAAAAGGCTCCGACCTGATTGGTCATACACAGCTGAGGGGTTTTCCTCAAAATGAGTTCAACTCACCCAGGCTGACCACACAGTCCGTGATTTAAGACTGGATTTAGGGCTTGATCTGCCACCTCCAAGGATCCAAAGGAGTGGACTAATAAAGAATACTGTTTTTAAAAAAAAATCATTATTACTTTCTTATTTACTGGCTGGTCTAAGAAACTTCTTAACACCATAATCCCATACACCCTTCCCTTGTGTACTGCCTGCAATCTTTTAAGTGAATTATCTAAATTAGTCAAATATGACCATAATTTAGCAGAAGAGGCTAATAAAAAGAATAATACATGCATCAGCCATATTACACCAACATGTGAAAGTTACTTTTGAAAAAACAGGTCTTTAAAATTTAATAATTTAGTTTCTTTTTGCCTTATTCTAATTAAACACTTAAAACACTTCAAACTAACCCAGCTTTAGCACTCTTACCAACCTCTGTGTGTGTGTGTGTGTGTGTGTGTGTGTGTGTGTGTGTGTGTGTGTGTGTGTGTGTGTGTGTGTTTCATATCATTAATCATATCAGTCACCTTCCTTTCTGCTCATGAGAAGCTGCTGCAGCACTGAGCTGCTTGCTCGCTGTTAACATGCAGGTCACACGCAGCAGATGACCTGCAGTTTGAGTTATTTTCAAAGCCTCTTTTTTCACCCTAAATATATCGGATTATTCTGCCTTAAACAGACTAAACACAACAACATGGGTGTTTGTGTCACTGTACTTTATATCACTATAAAGTATTACTCAACTCCCCTGGCTTATTTTCAATGTTGGTTGCCCAAGACTCGACTTCCTCTTTCCTCCCATTTGCAAAACATTTTTAATCTGATTATCTTCAGCTAGACTTTCTAACTTCTCCCTGGCCTTGACTTTACTCACGACTTAGCAGAGAAAAATGGAGGAAAAGACCTCTTATCTGAAAGCATTACTTTTAGCTGAAGCCCCTTTTCATTCTTGACAGCTTGAGTATTTTCCTCCTCCTTCTTTCCTCTGCTAGAAAGAATGGCGCACGTGCAAGCCCCGGTTACGATTTATCACCCAGCAGTGTACGAGGTGAAATTTAGCAGCGCCACAGAGGGAAAAGAAGGCGCGGAGGCAAGAGAGGAGTGTGACAGGTGATTTGCCGGAGATTTAAAACTGAACCAAAGCAAGGATCAATTTAAAGGAAGTAATAAGTGATAAATAACTTTTTTTATTAAATCACCGTCCTGCCGCACACATTAAAAAAGAAAATGTGAAAAATGTGACCTCAAAGTTTTTGTTGTCCAACCATAAAAGTTACAGACAGATCTAATTATATGTGGCTTTATTAAAACCTTAACATTAGGTCGTTCCATCTATACTTCAACCCTGGCCTCTGACCTTTGACCCCTCATTTGAAGCTTGTTTTCACTTGCTGTAGTGTTGTGTTGTTCAAAAGAACCGAATCTTTTAAGTGAACGTACTGAACCGAGTCACTTCCTCGAGTGATTCGTTCGTTTCTCACTTCAGTTGAGCTGAAATGAGAAACAGCAGCTCGTGAACGAGGAACCACATGCACTGACGCCTGAATCACTTGGTGAACGAATCACGCATTGAACTACACTCTCTAAAATCATTTTTGTCGGACAAAACTACTTTTTTTTTTTTTTCACTGCTAAATTGCCACCACAACAACTTCCATACAATAGGACACACCATGTAACAGATTGTGCATTAAACCCGCAGCAACCTATCATTGCAGTGGTTTGCAAGGGGTCGGTGCATGTTCAGTGTGAATTCTTCTAAACATTCAGTGAACGAATCACTCACTGAGCCCAATTTACTGAGCAGACCTGATAAATGGCATACAATAGGACAGTACACTTAAAACACCATGACTTTTGCCAAAGCAACACAGCCAAGTACTCCTGTCTCCCAGTCCCAGAAACTATGAATTGGACTGAATCCTGAAATGATCAGCTGTGTATCAGTTCAGGAGGTCGAGATTGCAGGCCTCTCCCGCCAAGCGTTAAGTGATTCTGTGTTTTGGTGAATGAATCTTTGAACTAATCTTTTTATAGAGAACTGATTTTAGTGATTCAGTACATCTAAAAGAACTGCCATACCCTTCACTAACTTGCTGAAATGATTCTTTACACAAAAAAACTTTTGAATGATGCTTGTGTCAAGTCTGCTCTGCTGATATCACTGTCAGGGCTGGAAGGAAGTGGCAGAAGCGAGGCTGAGACATGGCATCTTGATGGGCACTGTGGCAGTTGGATGAGCTGGTCTTGGTAGGCCCCAACACTGCTCTATGACAAGGCTAAGGGTAGAGAGAGATGCCACCCGTTCCAGGGAGCAATCCATGCCGAGGTGGGACATTGTGGCAGTATGGTAGCAATATGCCATCAAGGAGCTTGGACCAACTGGAATCATACTCTGGCTCAAAAGATCGCCCAGAAGTGGCTTTGGAGGAACCAGCCAGACTTGAGTTCCTGATCCAGTTTGGGAATAATGTTCTCCAAAGTCCATCAAATGTACACAACTCGGGTCTGGTGAACACTCTGGAACTCCTTGGGGCACATCTTTAGCTTGAATCTCTCCTTCATCCAAGCAAGGGAGTGCAATGTCTCAACATAGTTGTGGCTTCAGCTCGTGACTGACAACTGGAAGAGACCCTGGGGGGACAGCTCAAGTTTTCAGAACATCTAACAAGTACATCACTAAGGCCAGATTTGGTCGTCTCATCTGACCATTCAAAACAAGTGTTTATGCTGGAACTTACAGATCCTTGGGAAGGGCAGATAGAGGAAACCCTTGAGTATTAAAGAGCAAAATACTGTGAGCTAAGAGAGACATGCAAAGAGAATGAGTAGAAGACTCACTTTAAACCCATCCAAGGGTCTAGGGGATTTCCAGGAATGCCTCTTCAATGAGTGCCAACGCCTTTTAGCATAAAGCCACCAGCATGAGTGAAGCGGCAGAAAAGCTTTACAGCTTCACTTTGCTGCTTGGACACCGACCAGGGTCTGATCAGGCTTGGTTGGGTCTCTCAGTCATGTGAGAGTATATGATGATCTTCAGTCAGGGAACACCCAATGACCCTGGGTTCACGACTGATAATGTGTCCAAGCTGCACCATCTAAAAACAGAAGTTGTGTCTTCAAAGTGTTTGGGGGATTCTTTACTTTTTTATGAAGTAGATAAACAATATTTATCTTAGCAAAAAAAAAACAACAACTTTTATTTCAAGGAAATAAAAGTGTTATATCATTGTTGTACACTTTGCAAACTCTGTGACAGGAAATAAAGAGGGACTTCTTTTCTTCAGATTGTTTTCTAAGGTATCTGATGGAAATATAAAACATGTTTATTGCTAGAGTGTATTTATGAATGGAAAATGACAGTCATCCACTTATAGATGATGGATGAATAGAATTTTTTTTTTTTACATTTTAAATCTACTGTAAAAATTATATTTTTAAATTTCAGAGTGCTTATCTGCTGTAATTGAAAAGTTTATAAATACCATCGAGCATTTACCAATGACTCTGACACCGACTGCATCAGTAAAATGTTGTGCAGGAGTTCTGTTTCTCTATCCTCATCTTGTAGCTCTATGTTAGGGTCTTTTTTTCTGTTATATCATCAGATAATGTTGACATTGCTAACAGTGTTTGCAAAAATAACTACATAAAGTACATACTACAAAAACACAATGCCCCTTTAGCTCACTTAAATGAGCAAATTCACTGTTTTCAACAACCAAAACAGATATTAAAGTTGCTGTCTTTTCCCTGTGCAGAGCAATAATAATGTCAAAGTAATAGATTTATTCCTCAAACATGTTTAAAGTGTGAAAGAAAAACCCAAAGAGCATGCTTTTTCCCGACCAAGAGTTTTAATTTAATCAAATAGCTTAGATATATACAGTTATTACACAAAAGAATTAAGCCAAAACCAAACATTCAATAAGAGTTACACTTTCTCTTTGGTTCAGCTCCTCAAAAAGTCTCTTAACATTCTTCAAATACAATTTTACAAATATATTCTATGACATTCTTGACCCAATGAACATTTGATAAAGAATACAACATATACAAAGAACAAATAAAGTTATTCACAGTCTGAGGAACATGAGTGGACCATGACTGTACATGCTTGAGTCATTCTTTCAGAGAAGTACAGTTTTCAAAATAGTCCATGTCTGGTGTAAGCAGAAGAGCTTCTTTTGACCAGTTCCCTGTATTCTCTTTAAGAAAGAAAAGCAGTAAAATAGATTAAGTCAGCTCCAAAAAAACAAAACAAAAAAAAACTGACAGGAGATGTGACAAAAAATAGGTGTTGGGAATATGTTGTTGCAGGTAAAGGATGAGGGGTGTCTGCGTTATCTTCATAACACCATGCGTCCACTCAGTGCTGGTTGTTAACACCAAGAAATCCACCTTTAGTACCTGAGTTTAAATGCCAATTTTTACAGCAAAAGCAACACCATGATCCATTTTACAGCAAAAGTAACATCCCAATCCATGTTTTACACAGTCTCGTGGTGCAGCAGAGGGTGAGCAGCAGCTTTGACTTTTTAAAAACCGTGAGTATAATGTGAGTTTTTAAAGTTGGCAGGTCCCTGTTCGACTCTCCTAATGACAGTGTTGAGGTACAACCTGCTGTAGAAATATCAACAGAACCACCACAGTTATTAACTAAGTTATTAAAGCATGTAGCCTACTTACAGTTCCTGTGTTCATACTGAAAAAATACAGCAATTTTTTTTTGTTCTGAGGTCGAACAATCAGTGCACACATAAAAGCTGGTGGAACTAAAGAGTTGATGTCTACATTGCTGTTGCAGACGGTTGTAAGTTAAACGTGAACAAATTTCACTTGTTTATCACAGTAATGATATTATTGCATCTGTAATGGAAAACTGGTCAGGAAAAAGTGCTATAGATTGAATTAGGTGAGACAAAAGAAGATGCACCACAAAACCTGATAAACTTTACTTAATTTACACTCTATTGTTTAATTGCAGTCACTGCAAACTTCTTGAGATCAGTCAGCACTATATACATAATTTACAATGATTGATGGACATATTGACTGAGTGGTTATTAGACTGACTGCTCATTTTTTGTGATATTTAAAGTTATTTTTTAGCTAATGTTTTGTAAAATTGAAACGTATGTCTGTAAGTTTGCTTTACACAATCTCTAAAAGCTGGCATTTTTACAAGATCCCTGAAAAACTTCCAAACCTGCAAGGACACTTGTGCCGAGTGCAGGTAGAGTACCTCACATTTATCCATATTTATCCACACACACAAAGCTAGCTAGCTAACTTGCTAATTCACTAGCCAGCCAGTTGCTCCTGTTCCTCCGTCTATTTAAAGATTTGTGATTTGTATCTCGAGTGCTTCTATAATATTATTAGAATATATTATTCATTGTGCTTTGTAAACTTCTGTTTTTAAAGGTGCTTTATAAATAAAATTAATATAAATGTTTCAGCCAGCACAGAGAGGCCCTTTACTGCCCACTAGAGTAGACCAACCAGTTATATACAGTGGTATGAACATACGTCTATTAAAGCACAGAAAGTCACTACAAGAAGCTTAGAAATTAAATACTCTAATTTACAAGACACATTACTTAAACATTAAGACACTCTATTCCAAATTTATTTTTATTCTTGTTTTGTTTTGTTTTGTTTGGCACATTTTTTTTCTTTATCAAGTATTAGTGATTCTATTTATTTATTTATTTATCTATTAATATTGAAGAGATCCAAAATATTGTATTTCTGTTGTCATCAATTCAAAGAGCTGGCATACCTTTGAAAACCTAGAATATCTAAAAAGCCAATTTATTTAAAATAAAATCTCAAATAAGATCAAATAGGTAGATTCAATGTGTGTATTACTTAAAGGGATATTTCAGTAGTTTTTAAGTGGGACTGTATGAGTTACATTCCACCTTCCATTTTCTATTGTGGGTAGAAACGGGGCACTTTTTATATTTTTGGTTGAAGCATCAAAATGACAGTTTCTCAAGAAATTATGAATCTCTGTCAATGCTTTCTTCCAACTCTCTGAAGCTCATCTAACCACGAGAGACAAAGACCACATCCTTTCTAAAGCCCATTCTGCGTGCTTTTTGTGGACATAGATCTGCTGTGGGCACATTGATCTTGCCCACTGATGGAAATATGTCCCCTCAACCGTGGGAAACGTTTCACTAACATCTGTCTGACATAGTTCTGAAACTTTTTCCCCACAAATGTGTAGAAGATAGGACTGATGCAAAAGTAAAAGTAGGTCAGGTTACGTGTGACATGAAGAATATAGGCATATTTCTTTACCTCACTACAAGCTGGTTTCCCTTGATGGAGTTTATCGTTCATCAGCGTGGCAATATTGTACGGGGTCCAGCACACAAAAAACAACACAACAATGAAGAATATCAGCCTAACTGTTTTAAACTTGGTAACAAGCTGGGATGCTAGGACAGTGATAGTAATCCTAACATAGCAGTAAGTTATCACAATCAGAGGGAAGATCAGGAAAAGGAAGAGCTGAATGTGAAAACCAGATTCTCTCAGACGCTCCGCCACATCTGTGCCTAAGCTTCCCCCTGTGTCCTGGCAGTACGTCCTGTTGTCCTGTCCACTAACTTTTGTGGCGTGGAGAAGCATCTCCTTGACGCACACCAAGAGGCTGACAAGCCACACAACAGCACAGGACACTGTGGCGTAGCGATGATTTCTCATACGAGGTGCACTCAGAGAGTACACAACAGCGAGGTGCCGGTCAAAGGTCAGAAGAGTGAGGAAGAGGACAGAGCTGTAGAAGCCCAGGTAGTAGATGGTGCCGACAATCTTACACATGGCTTCCCCGAAGATCCAGTCAGAGCGCTGCTGGTAGACCGCCAAGAAGGGAAGGCTGAACATGAAGATCAGAGATGACAACACCAGGTTCAGCAGTAAGATGTTGGTCACAGTGGTCAGCCTCTCAAATCTGGGGATGGTGGTTTAAAGATAAAAAGAGAGAGAAAAAAAAGGGTCACAGGAATTCCTAACTATGATGCATCTGAGTCTGTCAACTTCTGACTGTGTTTGTTGGCAGTTTCAGATTAAAAACAAACTTGCAGATATGTGACCCCATGTCGACAATGTGTGGAAACATCCTTTTGAAAATATAAATTCATGAGTAAAAACACGACAGTGACTTCTGATGCAAGTTTGACAGGTTTTATTTTACTCTGTACAATGGCCCTGAAACAAATTTTTGGCAATGAATAAATATTTTCAAAAAGTCAAAAACATTTCATTAGATTGAATTTTCAAATTAATTTGCATTTCTTTAATGTTTACATGATTGACTGTGTGAAATAATACTTCATTGCCTTCCTTACACATGTGTGCCATTGACTCTTCAGGGGCACTGTAACTGTTAAAAACAGATTTGTACAGTCAAGCTATTGTACAAAATTCATATTTCAGATCTAAATGACAGTCTCAAAATAAAGAAATGATCTTCATCTCACTTTGATGTAGTTATAACCCTTTTGGTATCATTTTAACCTCTTTTAATGTATTTTGATTAATCCCTCCATCCTGTTTGTAACCAGTCATACTTTGCTGATCCTCATTCACATTGTCTTTTTGTGTCCAAGAACCTTCAAAAGTTTCCACAGCAGTGTTGGAGGTAATAGGGAGGGGACAGCTGGTAGACAGTGACAGAGCAGAGGAAACTCTTGGGACTCACACTGAAGAAGTTTACCCCCTGAATTGCTCCTCTACTCCTCTCCTGCAGGGAGAAGAGTAGAGGAGCTATTGTCATCGCTTGTCATTTCTCCTGACAACCAGAAAACATCTCAAAGCGTGTCGTAGGTCTACTCCTTCCATATTCCCTCCCTAAATGTCAGGGTGAAGTGAGGCGGGTGGGCAAAAGTCTCCCATTGCCAAAAGTGGAAAAGTAGACAGTCTTAACCAGCAATGATCTGAAGTTACTAACATCTTGTTACTAATGTGACAAAGTGAACCAACTTGCAGAAAAAAAGACATTATTTAACAATTTGTTCTACTTGGCTAAATGTTGGGTCTGTCAGTTAAACAGTATGAGAACGGTTAACGCCCTCATGCCTGTTCCTGTTATTTATTGCTCCAACATAGAGATTTTATGCCATTTAAACTAAACACAGCTTACCCTCTTTTTTCTGTATCAAAAACTATCGAACTGCTCCATGTTATGTCTGCCGTCTGTGCTTATTTACATCTGAGTAGTAGGCCTAGAAGTTTACCGTGGAGACAGCCCATAACTACAGCTCCAGATCTTGTCTACAGAAGTAGCTGCTCTTCGATTCAATTTTGGGGCCCCCGGTGGACAAAGCCCCTCATGTTCAAAAAGTGCCTTCTGACAAAATAAAATCTCATCCTGCTGTCTTTCAATAGTGAGATTGAATAATTCATCGAGAATATGTTATGTAGAAATTGCAAAAGCAATTCTCTGTCTTGTCGCCAACAGTCTTGTCTGCTTTTGTAAATTGTAAAAGGGCATTATTAGATCCCAGCCTGTTTCATAACTGTCAAAAATAAGCTTTAAAATATAAAAGTTCAAAGTTTTTCCTTCTTGCTTCATTTAAGTTAATAGTTTTATTATTTTTATCCTCAACATTAAGCACCAACACCTCAATAACATATACAAACTAGAGTTATTGTCGAATAATGTGTGAATTATATACTGTAGGTGACATGAATTACTACCGGAAGTGTGGACATTACCGTGGCTTATTACCTCCAAATGTTAAAGGAAATATTCAGTAAATGGTTTTCACTGAGATCAAGTTAATAAAGAAACAGAAGTTTACTGTCACAATCTTAAAATTCAGCCAACTTTATTTAAAATGACAGCATATGAACTTCTCTTAATTGTTAAATAAAGTCATGGTGACTTGGCCTTTAGCTGATGTGGAATCAACAGTAATTTATGATACAGCCCACATTTGTCCATGCACTGATAATAATTATCTGTCCTGCATTAGATGTTGTTATTCAACATTAAATACACGAATTTCCGGGTTGTCTTTAGTTATCAATACAGTCATGTTTGATGGAAAGCTTTGACGCCCTATATCTGAGTCAGTAATCAGTGGACCACTCCTTTTTGATTATGCAAGAAATGACTGTTATCTTTGTTCTGCTTTGACTAATATTTTTGAAAACTTTGTTGGGCTGCTATGACAATTGTTTAAGATTTTTAGGTTTTAAATTGAATGTATTGTGACCACCAGTGTTGAAAATTGAATATTGTGTAGTTTGAGTACAGCTGTTTGAATAATGCATATTATACCATGGGCTCCCCTGATACTCAGTTCTGATTGGCTAGAAGGTGTCAATTAACTTTTGGTATATGCACAACTGTGGAACTTCTTAAGCTGTTGCAATTAGATAATCCATTCACTGTTCAAAATTAAGAAACTGCTGACAGTATTTTAGCTTAGTAACCATAGCAACAGTGGTGAACTTCTTAAATTAAGAAATAAATGAAATTAAGAAATATGAGTAGGCCAATCTTATTTCAACAGAGTTAAGTTGCTAAAAATTGATAAAACGGGCTGAAATTCATATTAAAGTGTTTTTGTTTTTTTTTTTTGTTGTTGTTTTTTTTCTTAAAACATCAGTGACAAAACCAGTGATTTTTCAACTGCATTTTTAGTGCCTGAAACCATTGTGAGAAAGTAGGTGTCAGCAGCTGCAGAAACAGCCCTGTTGTTACAGTTTTCCATATAAACTATTCACAATAAATGACACATTTGAAAGTCAATAGGATGAGATTTTTTTTTCTCTGGAGACAGAATGAGGCATGTAGAGGACAAGATAAGCGAAGACGGCTTTGTACACAGGGGCGCCAAAATTGAAAGTCCTTAAAAAGTTGAAGCTATTGTTCAGTCACGGTATTACAAGACTAAAGTCATTATCTTTTTAGTAAAAACTCCTGATAAAATTATGGTCTCAGTTTAAGCGTCTGTACTGAAATGAGGAACCAATCTTAAAAGATTTTTTAAAAAATTCTTAATGTGGCCTTGATACTCCGTCCTGCAAATTCACTCAGAATGAATTGCAGCCACAATGAATCGTATGTTTTTTACCCTGGCCATCGCCATACAGCAGATAGTGAATGTTTCACTGTAACTGTATGGGGCTGTTGGTGATGTTGTTACTTAACTGTAACATTTGCAAAGTAATGGAGCACTCTGCCCTGAATAATTCAAAAGGCCTGCTTCAGCCGGATGCATGACATTTGTGTCACAACTCCAGAACAGCTTGATTTGTGTTTGGTGTGCATATTAACACAATAGCACAGCAGAGGGGCATCTCACATTCATCACATACACTATAATATCCAGAGAACAGTAGCCATTGTGGAAAAATAGTAGTACAAAAACTGCCGAAGTAGTGCTATTATGAGATTTAAGTTGCAAATTTGTCAGAAAAGGTTGCAAGTTAGAGGGGTTACAAAGTTGCAGATTTGCCCAAAAAGTATTTGTGATAAAAACAGTTGAAGGAAACAGTAGAAAAAAACATTTTTTTTTTCACTGTGGAGTGTCTGGGCCATACCACGGATGAAGCTTCTATTTATTTTCAAAATCAAATGCTAAAACTGATTAAAAAGTACAATTCAGTAAGGTCCAGAATGACAGGTGTGCTACACATCAGTGGCATCTGATGTGTGAAAATAAGAGACTATGGGATTTTCTGAAAACTTTTTCTGTTTGTTTCCCCCCAAAACAAATCACAAAGTTGTTTCTTTCTCTTTTTTTTTTTTTTTTTTTTTTTACACATACGCAGTTTTTGGCCTGCCAAAATTTGCAATGAACATTTTCTCTATTTTTTTCAAAATTTCTGTATTTTTCTTTTAAAAAAAGAAATTTTTGAAAATGTGCTACCCCCCTCCCCCAAATTTGCAATTTACTTTTTCTCAAAATTAGTCTTTTTTTTCTTACAAAATAAGACATTTTCAGAAATTTGCTGGTTTTTCACACAAATTTGTTATTTTTCCTCAAAATATATTTTTTGTTTCATAAGTTTGCAACTTCATAATTGCAGAATTTTTCAGTTTCTGGTCTCATTTTCTCTTTTTATTATTTTTGCCATGGTACTAGTATGTATGTGTATATATATATATATATATATATATATATATATATATATATATATACTAGTATACTAGTATATAAGTGAGTGTTCATATTCAGGTTTCAGGTTATGTGGTCTACTCACCGATGAATGATCACCAGAACCAACAGGTTACCCAAGACACTGACAAAAAAGATGAAGTAGTAGAAAGTGGACATGTAAGCTCCCATATAGTTGTCCGTGGACCTGTCACAGGGTGCAACGGCTGTGATGTTTTGGTTGGAATAGAAGGCATCATAGTCTATTGTTGTTGTAGCTGGCATCTCTGTCGTTGGTTGTGCCATCTCTACTGAAAGGATGAGGGATCTGTCAAATACAGAGACACAACAATCAAACAGTTAATTTGAGTTTGTAAAATGAAAAAAACTGTGGAGACAATTGAAGGTATACAAGAGCTGTTATTGTGAATTCCTACTGGAGCAAGAAAACAGCCCTTTAAATTGAACACCACTGAAAAGTAGAGTAAAAAGAAGCAGATGTTCGTGGGATGAAGAATCATACTTAAGCGAGCAGACTTACCACCTGGCTTGCAGAGGATCTGCCACTTGCTGTCTGAGTCTGAAGGCAACAGCTGTCTGAGTCACAGTGAGTTCAAGTCACTCCAAAAAAAGTCATGGGTAGGAAGTACCAGAGAAGTGTGAGAGGGTGGGTGTGTGAGTGAGTGTGTGTAAGTGGGAGGGAGATATGCAATGATTCTGCAACCATACTGAGACAACACATGCTCTGAATCATGGACTGCTCAGCTTAAGTTTAAAGCAGCATCCCCACAGACAGGGCAAGTTCATCCAGACTTACAAAATCTTTAAGTTTTATTAGATTCACTTTATTTACTGTAACCGTTACAGAGATTCCTCAATGTAGCCACCTTTGTGTAATTACAGCTACCCACACTCCTAGGTAGGACAATGGTGAGACAAATTTGTTCTAGGTGGAACGTCGGACATTCAAATATTTTCCAAATCTGATCCATCACCTTACTTACACCTTAGAACCAGATAAGAGGGTGACATCAGTTTACCATTTTGCTGCTTTTGCCATTTACAGCGTTGTGTCCAAACTTATTTTATGTGAGTGAGGTTTGGAAATAAGGATGAACTACAAAATGAGGGAGGGTGCACCTGAGGGGACATTAGACTGCCTGTCCACAGACATGTCCATGACATGAGGGGCTAAACCTATGAAAACAAAGAGATATGGACAGAGATGTACTCGCTGATTCACAATGCTTCAGAGATTTTAGATATTTGGAGTTGTTTGAAATAGAGAGTGCACACAAAGCCATTAACCACATTCACACAAACTTGCCAAAATGAATAAAAAAAGAGTAAGATATTTCCTCAGTCACATGTCACAATCACTGTAGTCACAATACGTCAATTTACACTCTAGCTGTGATGTCTGAGGGTTTTCTTGGTAAATGGTTTGGTTACTTTGTCGTCATAATATCAGGCTTTCAGATTTCATCATTAGATTTGAATCTGCTGTAGACTTTATCCTCAATAGAGGTCATGTTTCAGTGTAAATAATATGATTCTGCATCACTTATTCATGAGAAAGTCACTCTTTTTTAATAATATTGTTCATCAGAAGGTATCACAGAGAAACAATGAGAATGCTGCAGTTAATTTTATCAACCAGAACTCAATATACAGTGATGTGCCATTAGCCTTTTGCTAACATGTTTTGCTGGCTGTTTTGATACTTAACACATCAACCAGGAGACGACCCAGTAGTTACAAGCTGAAGGGGGTTTACCACCCACTGAATCTGAGGCAGATAGGCTTCTGTCAACAGTTTGATTTGGATTCAAAAAGGCCCAAAAATGTCGGATAAGAGCATAGCAGGTGTGACTCACTGAAGTATTATTATTGTTGTTGTTGTCAAGAAAATCATCATAATTAATATATTTTTTAAGCAGGACATTTAGAAGCTTATAGTAATTATTTACTAATACTGACTGCAGGATACACTCATGCCACAAGAGAATAAGGGGAATGCTGTCCCCTGTGGTCAGTTTTGTTGACACAGCTGTAAATTTTCTGTGTGTTTTGAAGGAAATTCTTTAGAAACTTGCTCAAGAGAGAGGCAGGAAGCTCCAAAAAAAGAGAACAAAGTTTGACTTTAAAAGTCCTCAAACAGATAATAAGGAAGCCACTTAAGAATTTAAACGAAAAGCCTTTAAAAACTGCACATTTCCACTTTTACTTAATATCCTGAAATAATTAGAAATTCAAATAAAATCTAATTTATTAAATACGTTAAAATAACTGCGTGAATCGCTGATCAAGCCTAAGTGCATGAATTATATGAGTTAAAACTTTTATCATGTTAAGTCACTGTAGTTTGATGCAAATTTTCTGTTATCTGTACAACCCAGTGTGACACACAGCTGCAGCATGTTATCTGTTTTGTGTGTGTGTAACCAGGAGTCAAAATATAGTGGTTTTGTACAAATTCTTCCATTGAGTTTGGTTCCAGTTTATGTCACACCACAAAAAAGGCTTGGCCCCCTGAGACTGTCTGTGGTCAGAAGCCCTTGACTTCAAGTTAGCAGAAGGACACACTCCCTGTTGCTGGTCTTATGGCTTTCCCTGTTGTTTACAGGTTGGTGCATGTCAAAAATCACACCCATGTGGTCCACATAACTTTTGCTCCACATAGAAGTGAACACCATCTTATTTCCTTTGCATTAGGGTGTGTATTTCTGTTTATTGAGAGGTTTGTAATGAGGCCAACATGCCAGTGGGTGCTAACTTTACTTGTCCAACACTTTCTTTATGCGATAATGTCAACTGCACTGCAATGCCGCTGATACATCGGTTTAAAATCCAATGGCAATGATAGCTTCTTAGCATTGTCAGCTCCAAACACTGTCCCACTGGTGAAATGAAAGTGTTTACAGGAATACAGATGTGAGTTGGAAGAAATAAATGAAAAATGAGTACCAAGCCAACTGCAAGGTGAAAGTAAGAGGCTGCAGATCAGCTGCTGCGATAATGAGGCGCCTCACTGATGGTTATCTAAAGATTGTCTGGGAGTGGATGGGTGCAAAACCACTTCAGTCAGATGCAGAGGCAGAAAAACACCAAAACAAAGATAGTAAAAGTTTTATGCATTTCATCACATTACATTATGCATATGATCCAGAATCTGACCTCAAATTTATGTGGTGTATTGTTGACATAGTCTGAGGTGAAGTGGTTAGCACAAACACGAACATTAGCAATAACTGTAGCCGCCCCCATGCTGTCCAAAAGAAACCACTCTGTTGCTGGGATGGACTACAGACATTTGTGCTGGCTTTTGCAACAAACACCAGAGCATCACAAATGCAAAACACATCAGCATGAGATGGCAGGATGGCCCCAGGAATGGGAGTGGAAGTGGAGTTATGTGCCATCTTATTCAGCCCAAAGGGTCTTGTAGGAGTTTGGTTTTTCCAGTAGGTGGGCTACAGAAACAACTAAAAGGTTTCTGTGCTTCTACTCTGAAGGTCCATGCAGGGCTGGAAAACATGAAGACTAACACAAAAGAAAACAGGAATAAAAGTCTATGTAAATTTGTCTGTGTGTTTTGTAACTCTTATGAGATAGGGCTTTGTTACTGTCAACACACTTGGTTGTGCTTGTGACCATAGAAACCTCACATACTTGGCTGTGTCGTGTGCATTCATTTGGTGGCCTCTGCAGATACTGGGAATGAACAGTGCTGTCTGGACTTAAAAGACAATAGAGAAAACAATTCAAATCAGACCCATTTTTTTTTGTTTGTTTTTTTTCACAGGCTGTTGCATGGATTTGTCTCAGTCGTGTTAGTTTGTGCTCTCTGTTCCATTTACAGAGAGCACATATGAGGATTTGTGGCATTTGTGTGTACTAAATTATGTGTGATCACTTTCTAAATTTTATTGAGTGTGCAAAGTGTGGCTTTTATGTGTACATTTGTAAATGGGAGCTTTAATGTTGTTATTTTGTACTGTTTCTTTTTGGGAGTTTATGCCAAGAGAGGGGGCTCAGCCTTCCTGGTTAGATGATTGAGTGTGGTCAGCAGAGAGGAGCGAGAGGAGGAGGGCCACCACCAGGAGCCTGTTATGTGTCTTGTTATAAGTATCTGTGACAGGATATGTATTTTGTTGACCTCAGTGCTTGTCATATATTCAAGCCACTCTGCTAATTAGTGCTAGCTTAGAGCGTGTGATTTTGCTTACTTTTTTTTTTTTTTTTTTTGTAGTGTGTTGTTAAGCGCTTTGGGTATCTTGAAAGGCGCTATACAAATGTAAGATATTATTATTATTATTATTATTATCATTATTATTATTATTATTATTATTATTATTATTACTTTGTTAGGCACATGCACATCTCTCTCTCAAGTCCTGATGTTTTGCATTAAGATGCTGTCAAACTGTGATTTAGTAAAGAAGCTATGAAACCATAGAGGGCCTGTAACATAAGGGATAATAAAATTATTCCCATTAAAATTTATTGGGCTATCCTTTAAGATACAAGGATAAGTGCACATGCATTTTCAGAGCGTAGCAGCCATACACTGTATATACCATGGACAACTTGGCTCCGCCTTCCGCCAGTATACAGATTTGAAGCCGAAAAGCTCTCGGTATTTCCACGATTTTTCTCCACTTCCTGAAACCAACATTGCGCATTAGTGTTGTACGCACTCCAGTCGCTGTGATGATGCTCAGCTCAAACAGCGTATCCCCCGGGTGAGCTACACAATTTTCGTATGACCGTAGATTGTATCAATCATGTAAAACACGAACCCCCTAATAACTTGTAAAAACTGAGCTGTACAGAAAAAAGAGGACTTGAGCACAAACCAGTCTTACAATAACTACATGGCAACATCGCAACCGGGGGGAGAAAAATGTGTATTCTGTGTAACAAACTTCTAAATGTTGTCCACAGCTCCATAGGGATTGCTGGCGGAGGCGGGATTTATGACCTATACTGCATCTTGTCACTAGAGGGTGCTGTTCTCGGGGTGGCTTCACCCAGAGAGGAGGCAGACGACGTCCATTCTAGCAGTCCATGGTAGCAGTCCATGGTAGCAGTATAGCTTGGCCTGTCTCATTGTTGTAGTGGCATTAAGGAAACAATGACCCCTGATTGTTGTTTTAAAAAGATTGATTTTTCCAAGTGGATTATGTCATATTCTTTCTCATGCCCCCGCAGTGAAGTGCCACAATGATCTGAGTGAAATGTACTTAATGTGTGTGATGGTGTACAGGGCTTAAGATTCAAAAAATTATCATGAACAGCAGCATTAGAGTGATTTGCCTCCATTGAGGGTACAATCATTTTTAAAAGCAGAGATGATTAGACTTGAACGGCTCCCTAGTGAGTGATATTAACTTCCCCTTCGACAGTCAGGTTTATTGAGCACACGCTGATATCAGTTGCAAGTGGATGTGTGTGTTTGTGTGTGTCTGTGGCAGGTTCAGTGGGTGCAGAGGCATGCGCCAAGCAATGGAAGGGGATTTGCACAGTAAGTGTCGTTTTTAAGACGTTAACTATCTCAAATGAGGGAGAAAGAAGATCAGTGCTCGCTCACTGAACCCCACTCACATCAGTGTCAAGGGATTTGGA